AGATCACGGGCTGCAATCGAAACCAACCAAGGTGTCAGTGCTAAGGTCTTCTCCCTCTACAAACTCAGCTGTGCAAAGTACTTCCATCACGAACAGAGCTCCTGGAAACAGGGAAAGACTGCTCCCAGCTCCTTAACCAGGATGAAGCTAAGACATACCCCTATCTTTCCCTAGAAATGCCAGGTTGTGTCCTGAAGAATCACTCCTCTGCTCAGCTCATTCTTCCCTCTGCCTGGGATGAGGCATGTCACAGGCCATGTTCCAGAATGCCTCCAAACACCCACAGTGATTATAGCCTCTGCCCAAGGCTCAGGAGCAGGGCAGCCCCAAGATGTCCAGCTTGGATGGGCAGCTCTGTAGTCTGGACTCTATTTCCCAGAGCACAGCTTGGACTGGAGCAGCCCCAGTGCAAGAAAAGAAAGGGTTATGAAATGGATCTGTGCAGTGACACAGCGTGAGCGCAATTAATTGTTGTCAAAGCATTTTGCTGGCTGTGTTCGTCTCTCATGAAGAACAAAACTGTCATAATGGTGACAACTTTATTCAACACTGGTGCAACTACGGAAACTAAAATTATGAAGCAAAAGGGAGATTTTCTTGAAAGGGCTGATCTCTCTTCCCCATGTCGCATGCCTGGGACAGTCCACCCCCAGGAGCGAGGGAGGAGAGAAAGGAAGCTAAGATTCATTGAAGGTTGCCATGTGCTACTATGAGCAGCGTTTGACCGTTTTATTCTACATAACCCTGCCTTCAGCTCTGTGAAGGGATGGGGAGTGGAGCTGAGCACAGAGGACCAAGATTTGCTGAGCGTCCATAACGAGACAGCCTCTCTGTACAAGCTCTATGTACATAATTTACCTTGATTATCACAACCACACTCAAAGGGAAGTATTATTATCCCCATTTTACCGATGAGAAAGCTGAGTCTCAGAAAGGTTAAGAAGCTTGCGCAAGATCCCGCAGCTCAAATCCTTCCAACCACAAGGTCATTTACACTGAGTTGCTTGCCGTGAAATATACAAGGTGAGCAGAGCCACACTTCTGGGATAGCCCCCTGCTGTTGCTTCTTCATCCCCTTTTCTCTTCTTTCTCACATCCCATTGCCCTCCCATCACCCTTCCAAAAATGCAAAAGTGGTCAAGATCCTGGAGTCACAAAAAGAGTCGGGTGTGAGTCTAGGCTCCACGACTTACTAGTAATTGTGACCTTGGCTCATTTGTTTAACCTCTGTAAGCTTTAGTATTTCAACTATAAATTGAGGACAGTAATAGTTCCGGCTTCATAATTCTGTTGTGGGGATTAAATGAGACCAAGCTTGTCAAGTGCTTTGCATAGAGCCTGGCACGTGGCAAGTATTCGATGGCAGTTGGTATCACTATTGGCTCGAGACAATGGCATTGAAACGAGGTGTCGGTGTCCGGTCCCAGCCTGATCCCCACTCCGGATACTGGAGATGGGAATGAGGCATCAGGAGCGCAGCTGGGTCCTGGGATCTTCACTCCCTTCCCGCATGGCTGGTTGACTGCCCTTCCTTTGCAGGACCTTGCCCTGGAAGGGCACAGGGCAGAGTTAGGACAGCGAGGGAGACTCACTCCTACTATGAGTCAGGTAGGGCTCAGCATGTGCAGGGCACTCCTCTAAAGTCTTTGCAAACATGAGCTCATTTAATCTTTACAACAAGTCAGTGCAGTGGGGGCCATTATTCACTTCACTAAGTGAAGGGAAAGTAACCTTAGGTGACTCCCCGCAGATCCCACTCTGACCTTTGGGGACAGCCATGCCAGGCCTGCGGCTCTGCCTCTCTAAGGAAATAGAAACCAGGTCACCACCACCTCCTCCACGTGATGCCTGTGCCCCCCTGAGAAACTCTCTCCTGCCTGGTAGGGAGAGCTCTCCATCACCCAAGGGAAACATTCACTCTGTGATTTCTCCAGGGCGCTGTTTCTCCTGTTCTATTCCCCTTCCTCCCCTGGTCATTTCCGTGTGATAAACAAGGATGGACAAAGATATTCAAGCAGGCAAATTCTGTGAGAAGACGCAGACCTCGGTTTCAGCTTCAGCCACGGCTATACACACCCCTTACAAGCTGTGGGTCTCGGCAAGTGACTCACCCTCTCGCAGTTTCCACATCTATGAAACAGAGATAATACCGACCTCATGGTGTTCTTATGAGGCTCAGATAAAAGCACTTGAAGCATACAGAATAATGCCCAACACCTCAATTTATAGCTATTGTTATCATTTTGTTACTTATTCATAGCATTGAGCTCTTGCTCTGGCTAGTTCACCTAGGGAAGGCTCACCTTCCATGAGCCCCCTGGTTTCCTCATCTGTAAAGGGGGAATAAAAATATCCAGCCTGCTTTATAGGATCCTTGTGAAGGTTGAGTGAGATTGTGGCATAAAGCCTGGCACACCACACAGGCTCCATCAACTGTACTCATTACTCATTCTTTTCTTTTCTTTTCTTTGCTGAGGAAGATTGGCCCTGAGCTAACATCTGTGCCAATCTTCCTCTATTTTGTATATGGGACGCCTCCACAGCACGGTTGACGAGTGGTGTAGGGCCGTGCCCAGGATCCAAACCCGCAAACCCCGGGCCGCCAAAGCAGAGCACGCTGAACTCAACCACTACGCCACAGGGACAGCCCCCCATTACTCTTATTCTTATCATCATGAATAGTGTTTCTCAGGAATTGAAAGTCGGCTCAAGATCCCAACAGACAACTGGAATTACTTCCCAGCACAACTTGCGGGTGGGAAATATTTGATGTTTCTCTTTCATAAACATAAGAACTGCCTCAGAGGCACTTGCAGATTTTAAAGCTTCCAGAGGACCAGCTCAGAGAAGAACCTCCCTCAGTAAAGCACGTCTGAGGCTAGCACACAGAGGGCAAGAAAACCAGGCACTTCCTCTATAGCTCTATTTTTTAAATCTTTCCTTTAATGCTACTAATCAAAACTTACCAGGACTCTACTATGTTGCCAGCTTTCAGGTGTGATGGCAAGGACATGGGCTTTTTAAAGTCAGATGACTTGGTTCAAAGGTAGGTCTGTGACTGCTATGTGACTACAGGTAAGTCACTTACCCTCTCTGAGCCTCAGTTTCCTCACTTGGGAAAAAGAATAGTATCAGCTTCACAGGATTGTAAGGAGGGTCAAATGAGAAGATGTGCAAGACATAAACTGTCAAGGACTATGTAAATGTGAATTGCTAGAGAAAGGATATCAAATTGAAAGCTCCATCACAGTAAACAGTTGTTCAGGAAGTTGGTATCTCTGTATCCTCCTCCTTGATTAACTCGAATTTCCTATTTCCATGTTAACAGTCTTTCTGTACTTGTGTCTGCTATTATAAGCCACTTCAAACCTTTTAGAAAGTAGGCAAAATCTAAAATAACAAACAAAACAGCTCCACGGTCAGAAGTAACATGGCCCATGACCCTCTCCGTTCAGTGGCGTTTGCAAGATGGCTAGGGGGTTAGATTTGCTCTCTGCAGCCTGGAACCCAGGGCTCGTTTCTCTGGAGGAGGGTAACTGGTCCTCTCAGGAATGGAGTCCGAGATGAGGCCAACCAGCCCTAAGGGGAACTCTCCCCTCCAACCCCAAACCCAGTGGGGAGATGAGGATTGCCAAGGGGAAGCCAGCTCCCCAAAATATTGCCTCAAATCCTCTGGCTTTATACCTTCTGCCTCAAAGTAGAAGTCTGCATTTTGTTTTCTCTAGGATTTGTAAAAGAAACATGCCTTTTTGAAACTTTGCGTTTTCTACCTATCAGTTTACCAACCATACAGAGATGAATCCAGCCTGTAATGGGTTTAAATGAGACAGCCAGGTAGGTGACACACTCAAGTTGTCGCTGCGTTTTAAACATAGCACACGACGCATTACACAAATATCATTCATAAAACCTGAGTCACAAGTTTCGGATGGAAACTGGGAACAAGTATAAATAGCTTGCGTATGTCAAACAGAAGAAAAGAAGGGAAGTTTGGAGAATAAGGTCAAAATCACTGTGCTCAATTTAAACACAATAAAAATCTCCGCCTTGTCATTATTACAGCCCCCCAGCACGACTCCTACCCAAAAAAGGAGAGAATGTCAAATGGAAAATTCTGAATAAGCTAATGTCCTCACATTAAACTAAACAGTACAAATGATGCAGCATCATAAAATGAAGCTATAATTATGTCGTCTCACTTCTTGGCTGTCGGATGCCCACAGTTTGGAGCAGACATTCCAGCATTTTCTGGGCTGGGAACTGTTTTAGGATCTTTAAAAAGAAGGTAGCTTCAAAGACTCATGTTGACCAATTGATTTGCCTTCAATGACTCTGTGGTGGCTTTGAGTGGCAGCAGAAGAATATACCTTATTGTGGTGAAGAATGAACACATTGAACATGTAGGAAACACTTTTAAAAACCATCTTTCCTATGATTCTCCCCTCCCCAGGACACCCCCATTCCTGTGACTCTGAACATAACTCATTACCAACATACTGCCCCAAACCCAGCTCATGATGTCATGATGACAGCACAAAAGCAGACACCCCTGCAGTCTCAGGGTTGGTCCAGCTGGAGCAAATTGCACACCTTCCAGCCCCTCCCATTGAGGTGAAGGGCGTGGCCAGCAGTTGGAAGAAACACAAGAGCCCACAACATCCTTGAGGCCTTCAACGGGTCCCACAGACTCGGCCTTGACTCTGGTGTTCTGTTCCTTAGCAGACATCTTCCAGCCTCCACTCTCACAGTCCAGGAACTCAGTGTGAACTTGCAGGGAGCCGTTCGAGGAAGTGGATTGAGGAAGTAGCCATTCTCGCTCCAGAGAAGTTGAGTGTTTTGTCACCCACTCCCCCAGGCCCTCGCTACAACCCAAGTGTGGGATGTGAACGCCAAAGACTATGACACAGAGGGCCACAACATATGTGCACGGTTAACTCGGGCCCCCGGCTGCTGCATGATTCCAGCTCCCGATTCACCCAGCGTCTGCCGTCCCATTCTGGTCCCTTCTCCCATCACCAGCAGAAGTGGACTTCTCAGTCTCAGGCCTCTCCCATCCCAGTCTCTGATGATGTGCGTGGTCTCTGAGTTAAGAGCTCACCAAAGTGTAGATCATGCTAAATGCAAAAAGAAGACGAAAAGAAGGCATTAGTGGGAGCCCAGGAAAGCCTCCGACTGCTCCTCAAGACAGGGACCTTCCAAAAGCCGGAGCCCCTGGCTTCTTTCTCATTCCTGCCGCTAACGCACCTCGTCTCCTCCTCCTACTGTCCCCCTACTGCTTCCCACAACATTGGACTAAACATTTGTGACGAGAGCATATGGTGTCCCTTAGATAAAAGATGTGATTGCTCTAAGTGCCTATTATTATTCTCATCAGGATGATTATTATGGCTGCTATTTCTCTTTTCTGCAATTGCAGGGCAGGTCCCCGGAGTGGGTGGGCGGGGGGGTGCAGCGGATTCTTTATCCCACCAGCTGCCACATGCTTAGGTGATGGCTGTGTCCAGAGGCTCCCAGATGCTGCTGGATAATGCGTTAGCGCTGGGGAGATGAGCATCATCACTATTGCGGGGGCGGACGTGTGAACACAAGCCCTCTGGGCACATGAATGAAATGAATTCTTAATTGGCTAACCCTCTGGCCCTCCTGTTTTTAACAGAATCCAGGCATTAAAGATGCATTAAGAGCATGTATCCCAAGGTGGTGCCTCAACACTACCACGGACGGAGGTCATGCACCCCTGGGCTCTTAGAAAGGGCTGCGAGGCCGAGGAACGTTCTACACCAAAATATACCACTTTGTCTATTTGGCAGAAAGGAAAACAACCACCTTTTCACATTATAGAGAGAATAAAAGGATAATCTAAGAAACAAAACCAAGGGAAAGCATCGCAAGTGTTTCACTTCTAACCCTATCCAGCTGTGAAGCCCCGGCGAGCTCTCCTGAGCAGCTGAAGTTCATCTTTAAGAAGCTGCTACCCTTCATGTTCACAGAGCATCACTGGTCAGGACCAGAGCTAGAGGGGTCTTCTTCGACACGGGGAAGTCAGGGGTCAGATGAGAAGTGGATTGCTCAAGGTCACACAGCCAGCGACAGCAAGGCGAGGAGCCCCATCCCAACGCCAAAGCCATGCTCTTTCCAGCATAATACTGAGCTTCAGTGGGGATGCCTCTGTTTACTCACTTCCATTCACTCATTCATTCACTCATTCATTCAGTATTTATTGAGTGCCTCCTGCAAGCCAGGCACCATTATCGGTGCTAGGAAACAATGGAGAGTGTGCAGCCTCCATCCCTGCCTTGAGGGAGCATACAGCCAGGCTGAACAACAAACAAGGATTTAATGAGCACCTACTGTGTGCCAGGCACTGGCCAGGCCAGTGCAGATACACAGGTGAATGAAACAGATGAGGTCTCCGCCACCGAGTAAACCATGAATAACATAATAGAGAGTGAGATAAATACACAGGAGGGGAGGCAGGCAAGATCCGTCCGGAGTAACCAGGCAGGAAGGTGGTGCTACTTCAGGGAGGTAAGATCAGTCTGCTTTACACTCTTGATTTGAAAAGATCTTTCTAGTGAGCAGGTAGACAGAGTTCATACTGGACTAACCAGCTGGTGTCACTGTCAGTATTAGCATTAGCTAGTCCCCATCCTGTGTAACCTGCAAACATCTGGTCCATAAGGCAACTTGAGAAGGGGGATGGCACTGGGGGTGGGATGGTTAGCACAATATAGTAGGAAGAGCCCAGGCTCTGGGGCAGATAAATTGCTAAATATCAGCTAGGACCTTGGACACATTTCTTAACCCCTCAGGAACCTCTGTAAAATGTCAACCCCACCTTTGTGGGGTCCCCAGCTGCTGTCACTTGAGTCTCTGTCATTGTGCTCAGGTCAGACGCAGCTCTCCATACACGTGAGTCCCCTTCCCTCCCTAAGAGAGTGGCCTGGGCTGATGGTCCTGTGCTCTCCACCAGCTCTGGATCTGAGGGGCTGGGAGCTCCTGAGGGGGAGAAACAGGCTCTTTGAGGGGCCCTGAAGAGCCCCAAGAGGTCAGATTCAACCAAGAATGTGGAAGCCCAGCAGCCACCCAGGGTCCCAGTGAGGGAGGAAGAGCAGTTGTTTCCAATTTTGTTCTGGAAACAAAGTAATTACTGAATGTAACATGCAGTGGGGCCAAACTGAACTAAAGGACTCCGGGACAGACAGTCAAACAGAATGTCTGGAACATAATCAGTGACAGAACGATCACACCACCCCCACACCGCCCCCTCCCGCCCCCACAGCCCCGCAGATAGAGAGCTGCCTCGCTCTCTGTCTGTGAATTTCTATGTTCTCTCCCACAATGCCTTGGGCTCCAGCAGTTACTGCAACAAAAGTGAAATGATGGAGCTTGACCTGCCTCGGTCTCCATCGAGACCAAGGCAGACCCCAGGCTGACGGGGCAGGAGCCAGGGAAAGCACTGTCCTTGTTCTGCTGGCTTTGAGGAGGGGCAATGGAGACAATGCTGCCTCTGGGGACAGACCACCAGCCTACGATTCTGCAGCAGGCGCTGTCACAGCCCCACAAAGAAAGAGGTTGAGCACATTCCAGCAAAGAAACCTAACCTCCATGTCAGCCCAAGGGTCAAGTCGCTAAGCCCATGAGGGGTTGGGCCACCCTCTACGAGTTTCCCAGGACGGGAACCAGCCTGATAGAGAGTTCAGACCTGGAGTCAGAGAGACTTGGGTGAACCTGCTGGGCACCTTGAAAATCTCCAGAGAGGATTCATAGACCCTCAGTCTCCTTATAGGTTGAAGCAGGCAATGTTCCAGGACACTCCATCAAGGAAGAGGAGGGAAGAGGTCACCCTGAGCCTCGACCAACCCTTGACTCCAAGAAGAATGTGGTAGAATAACTCGGACTCCCCTCGAAGGCTGAGTTATTCCAGGGGAAGCTAGACCTCCAGGGCCACCGAGCCTTCTGGATGCTGGGATGTGGAGGGAAGAGGAGGCAGAACCAAGCAGCATCTCCAGGGCGGCAGGTCTTACCCTCAGGCATGCATCAGCATCCCTGACACCTAGCCCCGAAATTCTGAATCAGCAGATCAAAGGCCAGGAATCTGCATTTTTAAGAAGCACACCCTCCTCACCCCTAGAGTCTGACACAGGAGGTCCAAAGACCACACTTGGATGAAGACCTTTCTAGGGGTTTCCTAAGACAGCCAGCAGTTAAAAGCTCAGTCTTCGGGATCAGATTTGAGATGGACTTACAGCTGTGACACTATTAGCTGTGACCGTGGGAAAATTATCTAATCATCTCAGATTGAGTTTCCTCATTGTTAATACGTAGGCAGTGATAGCATTTAGCTCATAAACTGAGGAACACACGTAAGGATCTTAGCCCAAAGTCTGGCTCCTTTTTTTCTTTTTCCCTCTTTTTTTTTTCTCTCTCTTTTTTATTTTGCTCTCTCTTTTTTAAATTTATTTATTTATTTATTTATTTATTTATTTATTTATTTGTGAGGAAGATCAGCCCTGAGCTAACATCTGCCAATCCTCCTCTTTTTGCTGACAAGACTGGCCCTGGGCTAACATCCATGCCCATCTTCCTCCACTTTATATGGGACGCCACCACAGCATGGCCTGACAAGCGGTGCGTCAGTGCGCGCCTGGGATCTGAACCGGCGAACCCCGGGCCGCTGCAACGGAGCACGTGCACTTAACCGCTTGCGCCACTGGGCGGGCCCCCTGGCTCCTTTTTAAATGCTGGAAAAATGTAGCCACTGTGCAGCCTGCCCCAGTCCAGCTTGAACCCTGAGGTGGCCTTGGAGCCTAATGCCCCCCACCCTCCTCTTCCTCACTTGGCCACTGCCAACCAGGCCACTCTGGAGACAACATGGGAATACTTGGGGATATCCATGCCCTGCCATAGGGAGCGACAGGAGAGCAAGGTGACAGGTGAGATGCCCAGAAATGAGCCCAAAGAGAAAGAGGAAGGAGGAGGAGACATTTTCAGAAAAGGCATTCTCTGGAGTATCAAACCACAAGACAGGCTGTTTATAACTATCTGCTTAGCTAGGATGTTCTGAGTAAAGAGGTGAAAAGATGGGAGAATCCTGAAATGGAATTGCAAAGTCAGCATGTTTTACTTAATTAGAGTGGTGTTATGGAATATTAGGAGAATCGTAAGTGTAAGCATTTAATGATGCAGCATGCTCCTTTGTGAATCGTGGTTGCTGCTGGGGTCTCTTATGGTCACGGAGAATGCTTACACACAGGTGAGAGGGCAATGAGGCTGTGCATCTGGGACCACAGGTGAGTTGCTAGAGGCGGGAGCCCTATGGGGAAGCCGACTGCCCTGCACCAGGAATGTCCTAAGAGGTGTTGGTAGAATGTGTTTTCGCTGTGCGGCCCTAAGGATGCGCCTGTCAGCAGGCGAGGCCTCCTACTCCTTCACACAGAAGCCCTTGCTCCCAAACCCGAGTCAGACAGCTGGGATCATACCCGATGGGCACGACTCCCACCCTCACAGGCCGCCTCCCGAAGACCAGGAGGCCGGCCTGAAATTCCCTCCATTCGCTGCAGGAATGAAACCCACCAGGAGAGGCAGAAACTCACCAGTAAAGGTAGTAGAAGAAGGAGAGGAGATAGAAGGCCAGCTTACACCAGGCCTCCTTCTGACAGTAACTCAAGGTGTCCGCGTTCATGACCACCGGCGGGTCATAGGCTAGTTCAGAACTATCTGCTGGACAGTGGAAATACCTGCAGGGCAAGAGGACACAGCATCACTGACTCAGAGGCTTGGAAGGGACATCTGACATTGTCTGGGCCAAGCCCTCCTGATGCCAACTTCCCCCTGAGGAATCTCTGCCGAGCAGCTGTCTACCTTCTGCCCGCATCCCTGCCCGCATCACAGCCCAGACACTATCTTCTCACAGGTGGTGACTCTCCAAATACTCAGATCCACCACACACCAGCTGCTCTGATAGAAGGAAAACATGTCACCTGGTGGGCCCTGGGAGACGGCAGGAAGAGCCTCCTTCATCCAGGGGAGTGGGGGTCCGCAGTGTGTGTCCACGTGGGTACCAGTATGGGCACAGGTGTGGGTGGACGGAGAGCCACGTCTCCACTGGTAGATGCCACTGTACCACAAAGCTGCCCTAAACATTCATTACTTTGGGTAAATATTGTCCCCCACCCAGACCCTCTTTTAAAATCCTGAATACTCTGGGAGGGACATCATATTCCCACTGTAGTGTGGAGTAGTTTGCAGGTACTTTTCTTCTCGATAGAGGGCCCCAGAACAGCAAAAAGAACATTGGCCATGGCGGGGCGAGAGCAGCCCTGGGGGGAAACTAGGTAAGCAAAAAACAGCAGGTGGGAGAGAGGAGGCAGGAGGGAGGAGGGAGAGAGGGAGCAGGGAGGGGGAGGGAGGGGCTGGGAGGGGTC